TAAGTTTAAATAAAATGTGCAAAAAAAGGTGCTGTGTATTCTAATGTGAAAAAAAAAAAAAAAAAAAAAACCCAAACATTTCCTTGCGCCATCATTAACATCTAGTAGTGTAGTGCTGAAACAAACAATAAATTCAATTCCATATTTGATAGGCAAAGTACTAAATTCATATTCACAGTACTAGCTACATTTCCCATCACATAACCACAATTTAAAGACACCAGAGTTTATTAAAAAACAGAAGTAGCTGCAGCAGCTAACCAATGACAGAACAAAAATATATGGAGATCATCTAAAGTAACGACTGCCTCCCTCAGTGTGGGGTGTTCTAACACTTTTGGCCTGCTTGGTTCTTCTCCGACACTTCATTTACCACCGTCTGTCACACCACCTGTTCCCTTACTGTTAGGATGCACTTTCGTGGGTGACTCATCACCTCCAGTCTCAAACACTTCCTGGTTCAGAAATGTGGCTCAATATTGACTGCATGACTAAACATTTGTTTATAGTTTTCATTTTCAGGGTCAAATTTGTAAATAATATATGAGTGCTAGGCTCAATGAATGAATTCACCTCAACGGCACTCTGTGGGTGAGGATAGGTCCTCTAGCTCTGACCTGGGCAGATCTTTGGGACACTATGTGAGACTAGATCACAAAAACAGCATGCAACTTCTATGCAACTTGACTTACTCTTTGGAATGTTAACTCTGGGAACCTAGTCTCCATGTCCTGAGGAAATTCCCATTATCCTAACTGGCTGGATAAAAACCCTAGGACTGAAGGAGAGGGAGGAGGCAAGACTCCCGGAGCTTTGCCAGTCCAGGCCCAGCACCTTGAACCTCCACCTGCAAGACAACCTGAGGCAAAAATTACCCAGCCAAACCCTTCCTGAATTCTGAGCCATAGGAACTGTAAGATAAGAAGACGATGGCTGTTGTTAAATTCTTTAACTTATCAGGAGTGATTTATTATGTAGCAATAGTACTGATAACATCATATTTCCCCAAAATTATCTCCACTCTCTACATCAAGTTCGAATCTCACTTCTATATTAGAAGTTACATTCCATATAATTATATTGTATAAAGTACATTATATATTATATTCCATATATATATATATTCCATATAATATATTCAGAAAATTCTAATTTTTGAGTTAGATAAACTTGAATCCAAAGCAGTCATATTACTTTAGTTTCTAGAAACAAAATAATCTCAAAAGCAAAGTATCTCTTAAAGGAATATTATTTGTGTCTTTCACTATGAAAGAGAAAAAATTACTATCAAGGTTTTTTATTTTAATAGATACTATCCTTTCAACACAGGCATATGGATAGTTATTCGTTGCTAGAGAACAAGAATTCAGACAGACTACTAAAATCTTCTCACAGGGCAACAAGAAGTAAAGTATTTCGGAAGAAATGAGAACAAGATTGGTACCTGGTCCCTGCAGGGGACTATAGGATACTCAATTGAAGACAAGGAAGGCAGCTACACTCTGAATGTCCTCACAGTTTCTAACATATTATCCCTAGGAAATGCCTCTACTTTAAACAGTGCACACCCATATGGCAGGGTCTATCCTGCAGTGATAGATGAAAATTATTGCCAGTCTCATTGAGCTCATGCCATATACCTCTATGTTAAAGTAATGCCAACAAAAAACTTTCCACTACTTCCATTACTTTGGAAAATCAAGGCTTTAGAGACAGAATTAACTTTCCCACTATAAAGACCTGTTAAAGCTTAATTGAGCCAAATGCCTTTTTCAACAGATACAGAAAAAGGCAGAGTAAGAAAGACAAGGAAAAATATTAGATGGTCTCACTCATAGCAGAAGCATAAAGGACCAGGGGAGAAAATAATAATAGTAATAATAATAATGAACAACTATATACCAGAGACATTTTACAGGGGTAGAGTGGGGAATGGGATCAAAAATGGGGTGGGGAAGGAAGTACACTGGACTATGGTGACGGCACACAGGATATTTGGTGATGGGAAGCCCATGGGGATTACAACTGAGATGGAAAAAGGCACAAAATGAAGTAAAAATAAATTATTATATTATTTTAAAAAAAGGCATAGTAACTCAACATATATACTGTCATTCTTAATTTATTGATAGTTCGCAAATCTATACTAATACTTTTCACATCAATTTCCACTCCTTAACCCCTCTTGTTTTTCATCAGATTGCTTTATGAAATCATATTTCTAAAATATCTAAAATGGGACTCTTGAAATTCCTCTTCACACTCATTTATAAAAAATTACCAAAACCAGTGATCAGTAAACTTTTTCTAAAAGGGTCAATAAATATTTTAGGCCCCTGGGGTCATGAGGCCTTTGCAACAACTACTCAGTTCTACTGAGTAGCCACACAGGCAAAATACATAAGCAAATGGGTGAGACAGTCTGCTGACCATACAAACAATTTGAATTCTTTGTGAAAAAAATTAGTTTGGCTGAAGATATTTTTCTGAAATACTGAAAATGAGTTGTTCTATGAGAAATCTATCACTCTAAGAACAGGAAAAAAACTGGTATAGGTTTTTTATACTCAATGCAAGAATTTTCCCTCTACCTTTTAATTAAAAAAGAAAAACTCAAAGCTTACTTGGACTTTTTTCTCCCTTATGCTCTTGCTTCTTCATTTTTAAAAGCATAGTTTCACTAACCAATGTACAGTCCATATCCACTGTCTCTCCTCCTGCTAATCTTGACTGGCTTCCATCCTGATCAGAGAATAAAACATTTTAAATTGTAACAATTATCCCTTTATGAACTTATATTTCCTTAGATTTTTAAAAAAATACAAAATTTTCAGTTTATTCATTTTAAATGTACATTTTAATAGTATGAAATGATATTTACTTTTACTCTGTAAGAATATGATTTGGGTTTTATTGTCTGCAAAATATTTAAGTTTCACTATATAAGCGTCCGTCCTCTCTCGAGCCTCAGAGGAGCCCCGCCAGACTGCCGCTGTAAAGGGAATGAGCAACCACCATGCTCCGGGGCTTTCCCTCCCTTTCCTCTCCAGTCTACTTCTCAGTAATGAGCATCTGTGCCCACTAGTAAGTACTGAATCAAATTGGACTTTTTGGTGGGCACACATTCCCCTAGCCACTGTTAAATCATTTATTAATGTGCTACCAAGCGAAAGAGAAGTTCTCAAACTGTATAGAGCCTGCAGACACACACAAAAAGTTATTTCCACTAAAAATTTAAAATTAAAAAAAAAAGCAAAATCATTGGGAAAATGAAATTTTTTCCTTAATTATACATATTTTAGGTTAATCAAGGCATATGCTGGATTATTTTGATAAAAAGTAAAGTCAAAATATTTTAAGACTATATTTTCCAGTAAATGATTCTCAAGTCAGAAAATATTAATACCATTTCAAAGATGCCATAAAGTTGGAAGAATAAGCAATTTTATATCTTAGTTTCCTGAACAAATAAATGTAGATTTTAAGAAGTATGTGATCATTTCAGGTCAGAGTGAGTCAAGAGAAGGGCGACTAACAGCTCACTGGAGACCACATGGCTTTGGTTTTACTTTCTAACTTACCTTTGTATCTATTACAGTGACATCCATTTTATACTGAGAGAAGTCTGCTCCTGGATCTATACTCCACTGGATATTTTCAAAGGGCACATCTTTGAAAGAAGGGGGAAAAAAGCACAACACAATGGATTTCAGAAATTTTCATAAGTTTAAAATATTATGAAACCCAAAATGGGAGAAAAGTTTTGCAAATCATGTATCTACGTAAAGAATTCCCATAATACCATAAGACAAACATCCCAAATAAAAGTGAGCAAAGGATCTGAATAGACAGTTCTCCAAAGAAGATATGCAAATGTCCAAAGCATATGAAAAGATGCTCATCATCATTAGCACTCAAAGCCACAATAACATATCACATTATAGCTGTCAGACAGGCTACCATCAAAAAAGCAAGAAATAACAAATGTTGGTGAGGATGTGAAGGGAACCTTTGAACCCTTGGTGCAATTGTTAATGTACCCACTTATATTGTTTATATACCCACTATGGAAAACAGAAAGGCAATTTCTCAAAAAAATAAAATCTGAACAACCATATGGTCTAACAATTCCACCTATGGGTATTTATCTGAAGAAAACAAAAATACTAAAATATATGCACCTCTATGTTCACTACAGCACTACTCATAGAAACAACCTAAATGTCCACTAAATGGATGCATGAATAAAGATGTGATATATTTTTATAAAATATTAAAACATCTATTTTTTTCATGTGACTTGACGAGGTATTCTGGGAAATGCATCTTTATTTAGGTGATTCTCTTATATGAACATCAAGCAGTATAATTATACAAACCTTAGTATGGGGTAACTTATTCAAACCACTGTCACTGACTGAAATTCACTGTTAAACAACACAAGAGTATACAACAAAGTACTATGCAGCCATAAAAAATGAAATTTTGTCAGTTGCAACAACATGGGTGGGCCTTAAGGGTATTATGTTAAGTGAAATAAATCAGGCAGAAAAAGATAGATATATGATTCTAGTTTTATGTATGCTCTAAAAAAATACCATACACATAGACAGACAAACAAAAAAAGACTCACTGATACAGAGAACACACTGGTATTTTCCTCAGGGTAATCAGAGGAGGACTTGGGAAAGGGCAGAATGGATGAAGTATGCATATTTAGTCACAAAATAAATAGGTGATTAGTGACAACATGAGCTCCATTGCTTGTAACATTGTATTGCCAATTTACAAAACTGCTCTAAGAATAGATGAGAAACACTTGTAGTCATTCACATTGTACACAAATGTTAAATCATTTTGTTGTATAACTGTATACAAATATAATGTAAGTAAATTGCACTTCAATAAATATATTCCACATCTAACAGGATGGCTAGAACAAAGAAGACAGATAATAAGACAATAAGTGTTGGTGAGGATGTGGAGAAATCAAAGCCTTGCCTACTGATAGTTGGAATATGAAATGATATAGCCACTTTGGAAACAGTTTTTAAAGGTTAAAGAAATAGCATATGGCCTAGTGTCTTTATTCCTGTAGAAAAGTGAAAACATTCATCCATAAAAAATACTTGTACATCAATGTTCATAGTAGTGGACAAAGTGACAAAAGATCATAGAAGATACCATTTATATGAAAACTCCTGAATAGGGAAATCTATAACAGAAGGTAGATTATGTATTTGCCCAGGACGTAGGAAATGAGGAGGGGAAAGAAGAATGGATCTTTTTTCTTTTTTGGGTGATAAGCCAAACTTAAATCTATAGTGAGGGTGGCACAACTCTGTGAGCATACCAAAACCACTGACTTGTAGATTTTAATGGGTGATTCTGAAGTTTCAATTATCTTCTTAAGGAGTGAAAATGATAACATTTTCTAGAGGGACTTTCAATATATGTACAACCACACAGAATTAGTGAACATAAAGTGGTACTGTATTAATTCTAAGAAAACTGTGAAAGGTTAGGTAGCACTGTGTAAGTAGAGCAACCATGGTAGAAATAAAAAGATTTTTTAAAAAATTAGGAATAAGAGTAAAAGTTTTCAGAAAGGGGATTAAACCCTCCTGGAGGAACTAAAGAATATGCGTTAGGAAAAAAGGAAAGTTAAATCCAGAGTAAAGGATAAGGGAAACAAAGATGAAGAATAAAAGAAAAAAAATACTACATATGAAGTACAGGGAATACTTGGCATTAAAAAAAAAAAAGGGCCCTATAAATGTAAATGTAAGGACCCATATAAATGTATATATGCATATGATTACAGATATACATGTTAATACAAAGAAAAAGGGACAGGATATTTAAGCATGTGGAAAACAAGGTTTGATAATAAAAGCTGTACTTTTTAGATTTTAGAGTTAGAGCTTTTGTGAAGAAAATAACTACATAAAATACATAAATTCATAAAATAACTATAAAAATAATAATAAAGATCTCAATTTGTTTTTTCAAGAAGCCAGGAACAGATAATACATGTAAGATGAAACCAATGCGAATCATCCTGTCACTCAATCTAGCCGAAAGATAAACAAAATGGATCATAATATTTATCTGAGTCATTAACAGTGGGAACACTAGAGTATACCTACCTTGGTTATTTTGTAGAGACTTTGTTTTAGCAGTTCTACATGGATTTAACTGAAGAACCGATGCAAGTTCACATGCTCCATGAACAGATTTGCTCTTTATTTTTATTGACTCAAGAGAACCAGTACCCTGAAACAGGAAACAACACATTTGCTTCTAGATAAAGTCACAAATAACTATTTTAATTAGAATCTTTGAACATTAAATACAAACCTTTATATCATCAAAAAGATTTTCTGTCTCCAAACTTTCACGTGGACGAAGAGGAATCTTGAAGACAGGATTTTCTTCCTTTATTTGCAATGGTGCTTTATCTAGAGAGGATTTGCTCAAGGTTTGGAGGATGCTTTCCTGAAAACTTGGCTCCTCTGGGTCGTCTCTGGCTGACATATAGCTCCCACTAAAGGCCTTGCGGCTTGAGGAAGAGCCCTTTGGAATGGGCTTCAAAGTCTCATAGAGATTCATTTGCCTACACCTGATTTTAGAGGTTTCACTTCCTTGACTTTTCTCTTGACGTTGAACAGATGAAAATGGACCGGACAGATCCAGGGGTTTTTCCATCACATTGTCTCCATTCACAGAAAAATGACTATCCGTAGGGAAAGGGAAAGCATTTTCTTTATCAAACGAGGCCTGGGGACAGCTTTCTTCATCTTCACTTTCATCCTCAGTTTTCTTCCTTTTGGAAGTTCTACCTACCAGTGATTTCAGGGGCACCGAATGTTTGTCCATCACAGCATCTTTCGTGTGATGAATACTATCCTGCTCACCTGTGGATTCACTTATATTTTTACTTATAAGCATCTGCTTATTAGAAGGTGACTGACTAATGATTCTGTTCACTTCAGACCCAAGATTATGATGTGTATAAAGTACACTATCTTCAGATTTTGACCTAGCCTTCTCTAATCTAGAATTAGAAGTATTAATGAAAGGTGCTATTTTCAGATGGTTTTTTTTCCCAGTCTCTAAAAGAGAAGGGGACAAACTTGTATTTAAACTTAATCCACTCTTCATGCTAGAGGTAGCTCCAAATACAGGTGATGACACCCGAGTAGCCAATTCTTCACGAGGAGGAGTCTTTGAAATACAATCTGAAAATCTAAAAAGCATACACATATTTATTTACTAAAGAAATGGTAAAAATTAAAAGATAAGCATGAGAAAGCATTCACTAATAGAGCAAATTAATAGTAAGTTCTTATCCATGTATTAGAAGCAGTTGACTAACCAAAATTTAAGGTAGGGTACACTTGTTGACTTGTCTTCTTTTAGTTAGCTTACAAAAAAGCAGAGGAAAATGATACATAAAACCTGTTTCACTATCATGACTATTTCTGTCAATAATTTTTTTCAGGTAACTTAAATAATTTCACTTTATAATAAAATCTTATTTAAATAAAGTCTGCTGGGCATCCAAATTCGTTCGTGGTATGAAATCTTGTCATGAGTACTTCAAGAAAAAAAAAAAAAGAAGAAGGCTCTGTCTACTTCTAGCAGAGGATGTAGCTGTGGTAATAGAAAGAGCATCAGATTTCAATTGGGAGAGTAAGAGTTCTAGTTCCAGTACTATTAGCTATGTGTCCTTAAGTTAGAGAGCTAATCTCCCTAGGGTTTCATTTTTGTCAAGTATAAAATAAAATATGGTCAATAAAATCTACTTTAATAAGTTACCATGATGATGAATTAAATGTCATATATGTATCTAAAATAAAAAACTTTTAAAATCAAAATGTTGTATAAATATAGATATTTTTGGCTAGTGGATAACTGAAACTAGTAAAAATGAGATGAAACACCATCTTGGAATCTCATCTAAGCTTACAGATGCAAACTCACATACAGTTTTACAAACCCTATAGGGATACTTGATTTTTAAAGGGCAGAACAATAAGACCGGGAATTCTTAAGCACTTGTTGATAGAAGTACAGAAAAAAACTTACAAATGACATCCCTCTTTATACTGAAAAGTAAAAATGACCTTAACTAGTTTTAAACAAAGGAGACATTTTTAAAAAATAAAATTTACTTCAACTAGAAAACAAATTATATACTAAGGGAGAAAAACAGCTTGATTATGACACTCATTGTAATGGGATATCACAAAGAGTTTACAAGTTTTTTTTTATTTTTTTAAAGATTTATTTATTTATGCATACAGAACTGGGGTACAAGCCAGAGGTGCAGGGGCGGTGAGAGGATTCACCAGGGACAGAGTGGGGAGCAGAACAGGCAGATCGGTGAAATATTGCTGAGGGGAGCAGTGGGTGGGTCAGGAGAGGTCTGCCGCACCAGGTGGGTCACCTCCAGGGTGGGGCCCGACTCATGCTGATGTGGCTTTAGCTTCTTAGTGCTGTGCTTTAACCTGCTGCACCACCAGGGAGGGCCCGAGTTTACAAGTTTTTACCAAAGTGCCCCAAATTACCTTAAAGCATCTTCGCCATTTATTATAGATTCCTCAAAAGGTTTTTTCTTGTCACCTCCTAAACAGTGGTACAGTTCATCTCCAAGGGGACTCATGGGGCCTTGAGATTCCTTTAAAAATAAAATAGAAAGTATACATATAGTATACATATACATATAATGGAATATCAGTTTTTCTTAATAATGAAATATTGACATGTGTTATAACGTGTTCAACGTCAAGCACAGGCTAAATGAGGAAAAAAAAAAGCCAGATTCAAAAACCACATAAGAACAGAAAACATTTTGGTGGCTGCAAGGGGCTACAGAGAATGGGGGATGGGGACTGGATGTTTAACAGGTACTAGGTTTTCTTTTAATGTGATAAAACCGCTCTGGAATATTGCATAAAATAATGAATGTATTTAATGCCATTGAATTGTATACTTTAAAATGGTACTATGTGAATTTTACCATAGTAAAAAAAAAATTGCCCTTTTTAAGGAAGGAATTGCTTAATACCTTAATATTTTATCTAAGTACATTCTATTACTGGTATATAAAACCCCATTTCAAAAAACATTAAGAATATAGATAATTATTCATTCTATAGAAGGTAAATTTACAAGCATCCTTTACAAAATAGCACTTTGAAACTTTAACATGCATACAAGTCAACTGGGAATCTTGTTAAAAGGCAAGTTCTCTTTCAGATGGTCTGGAGTGGAGACTGATACTCTGTTCTAACACATGGGGGATACAGCAGCTACTGGCCTGAACATTTTTTGCTCAGCAAGTCTTCAGAGTGTAGCTCCCTTAATTTATTTGGGGTGTAGATCACTTACTCATCAAATTTATGGGAAGGAGAGAATTAAAAACTATCCAAACACATTTAAAATTGAAAGCTTAGAAAACTACCCACTATCATTTGAAGATGGAGTTAAAACTATAAAGGACAAAATATATAACTGTAATGAAAAAAACCATCGTACAGACAAACATACTGACTAAAGCAAAAGAATATTTTTTAAAGTTGTATCAAAATAAAACTTCCTTAAGATTGAAGAATTTAACTTTTCTATTCTTTTAGCGGTCAAGAAAAAAGTAAATGCAAGAAGTACTAAAATAATTAAAAGAAAATGGAGATTAATTTTTGACCCAAACCTTATGCATTAAGTCTAACTGAACTGACAGGGGGACAAAGAACAACTAATACATCTATAGTTGTCCCAAGAATTCAGTTTTTCAAAGGCAATCACAGTTAAAAGGATGCCAAAAAGATCCAATGCATTCTGAAATCACCCTGAAGCCTTCTCTTTGATGGAACAGGGTAACGGGCAAGGAGAGAGGAGAGGACAGAGCACAGAGCTGGCCAAATCTAAGCCATGATGGTCCTTCTCTAAATTTTTACTCAACTTGCAACCAATATCCCAAAACTTGTAAAGACGTCAGATTTCTGTGATTGTCCTGGTAATATAAATGGGGCCTTCTAGCCACAATAGGTTTGTTCTAGGTTTTTATCCAATGATCTTTGGACAAAATAACTTTTCTCACATTCAATTCTCTTAAAAACAAACCCAATGAATTCATATTACCACCAAACTAAAGAATTACTTACCGATTCTTCTTGAACATTAAGTCCAAGTGTTTCAGCAACAACTGTAGCTAAATTAAAAGATGACTTAGAAGGATAAATGCTCGTTCCATGTGTTTCTAAGTAGAAAGGAAAAAAAAAACACCCAATTACATAATTGTAGAAACGAGATGCATAAAACAAATTCAGAAAAGGAAAGCAAAAGGTTTCAAAAAACCATTTTACAAGATGACACTAGATAATTTTTTAAAATGTTGTGCAAAATAGGGGCCTCCCTAATGGCTCAAGGGTTAAATTGCAACACTATGAACCTATCAACACTAGTGCGATCCCCAGCCAGGAAGGTGACCCGGTGCAGCAGACCTCTCCTGTCTCACTTGCTATTCCCCTCAGCAGTGGATTTCAGTAGATTTGCCTGTTCTGCTTCCCACTCTGACTCTGGTGAATCCTCTCCCCACCCCTCACCCCCACACTTCTGGTCTGTGGCCCAGTTCTTGTATGCTTAAATAAATAAATCCCTTTTTAAAAAAAGTACAAAATATCTACTATGATGTAGTACATAGGAAATATCTAACATCCAAACTTGTGGAACTTTTTAGTTAAGTTTATATCTTTCTTCAATGAACTGAATGCAATTTTTCTTAGTGTCGCTGAAAAAAAAATTATAAAAGTAATATGCATTCATAATAATTTCATTATGAATAAAGATACAGCATGAATACAAAACCTTTATAGTACTTTTATAAAAGCGCACTTTGTGGGAGAAATTTTCAGCACTGCCTAACTTTCAAGTTCTAAGTTAATAGATATTTTTACAGAAATCAGCTATGTTAAGTAATTTATACAGTTTCATGCACCCAGAATTTCAAAAACTACATCAGAGATGTAACTGACAATTGAGAAAAGGAAATGCTGAAAATCAAAGTGCGAAAGGTAACTAGATGGACATGAGTGATAAGTAACGTCACCATTTCCTTCCACCTTTTCAGGGATCTAGCAATTACTGCCTTTTTCTCCAAAATTATTGATTTCTTTCCTAATGATTCCACCAGGATAAAAATATGCTGAACATGCTATAATATGCAATCTTTAAAAAATCCTCACTGAGTCACACTCATCTCTAGCTTACTATCCCACTCCCTGTCCTGCTCATTACAAAACTTCATAAGTGACTTGTTTATATGTATGCTCTGGTCCTGGTGTCCAAATGATACAGTCATTACCCTTTCACTTTAACAGTTCATGGTATGAAATGAACACCCAGTGATCTCCATGAACCAAATTTAATGGTTAAGTCTGTCTTTATTGTCTCTGCTCTATTAGCACTGTTTGCTAGAATTGACCATTCCTTCCTTGATACATTTGGCTTAAGGGACACTTTATCTTTAACTCTTTCATCTCAGTGGCAATTCCTTCCCTAGTAGGAAGTTCTGTTTCTCATTTTCACTATCTAAATAGCTGAAATATTGCCTGCAAGGAGTGAAAAGTGGCTCATGGGCGGGGCAAAAAATCCTTTTATGTATAGAATCCAGATACACATATTCACAACAGACTAGTACGATTGTGTTATTAAAATTCCATGGGAGAGGCCCTCCCTGGTGGA